TATCAAATTAAATTTTTAAAAGTACCTTCTCATCTGTTCATCTGAAACCTATCCTTTGTTTTAAGAATATGAAGGTAAAGAAAGAAACCGGGCTTAACCAAAATGGCACTCACATTTGTAGTGATGAGTTTATCAAAGTAAATTTTCCAAAAATCTGGAGGAAAACTGCTTTCCACAACTGAACTAGTAAAACTTGAAGTATTTTGTGGTATTAAAGCAGCAACCACAATTAATAAATAAAACCTATTACCTTAGTCCTACAGGCTATTGAAAGTCCTGAGGTGAAGTTCAAGAATGACAAACCATTTTATACACCATTTGATGCACCCCATTTTCCTACATTTTGGTTGCAAACATCAGCAAGAACAGCTATTTGCTGTTCTCCTCCATCTGCTGGATTGCATAATTATGCACAAAACTGTGACCCTGTTCACAAAGGTGTTTGATTATCCATTTCCCTGATCTCTGTGATTTTATGCTAGAATCTTGTTGACTTTAAGGCGATTTTAAATTAAGGTTAGACTTTAGTACCTTCCTGAATCAACGCCTGGAAAATTCCTGCAATGCTTGCTTTGTAAGGTAAGAAAATGTTGGCCATCTACAGTAAAAACAATTACTTCACATTAAAATTATTTTTATCTAAATACATTTTATAAAGTATTCAAAATACGTGCTTCACTGTGATTCTCATCTATATCATAACTTTAGAAGAATACTGTACTGTCCTCAAACCACTATTAACAATCTTACTTTAGATTTTGCAATGTCTTTTCCAACAAGTATTAATGCCTACTTCCAGGTGAATTATTTCTCTCCTGATACAGGATTTGGTAAATTTCTCAACTCCTGAGGCATTTTTTCCCCCCCAGAAGTAACTTCTGAGTTAAACCAAAGTACCACAGCATAATTAAGATGGCATGCTAAGCTGATGTTTGCAGAGAAAACAACTGGACTGTCTGAACTGCTGTCAAGCTCATTTGCCTGGTACAATAAAACAATTTAAGAATTAAAATAAAATGCAACGAGACTTCTAACACAGCAGCATACAGGCCAAATAAGGTCAGTACAGCCAGCTCTATAAAATGAAGGCCCTGCCAAGGAACTAGAAGTAGCTAGTGGAGTATCTCCTACAGCTTGGCACTGAGGCACTTCATGTTCCATATACAAAAGACAAGAAAGCATATTGAAGTATTTTTTACCTTGACAGACAACTGCATTCCTGTATCAGAAATAGTAACTAGCAGGGCTGGGGAAAGGATTGGCATTGATGAAGTTACACCTCAGAGTCCTGTGCTCAGTTCTGAGCCCCTCACCTCAAAAAGGACTTTGAAGTGCTGGACCATGTCCAGAGAAGGACAACAAGGCTCATGCAGCATCTAGAGATCCTGTCTTAGGAGAAACATCTGAGAGAGTTGGGTGTGTTTATCCTTGAGAAGTGGAGGCTCAGGGGAATCCTCACTGCTCTCTACAAGGGGAAAAGGAGGCTGTCTGAAAGGAGGTTGTAAGTTGAAGTCCGGTATCTTCTACTGTGCCTACAGGGAGAAGACCTAAGGAAATGGCCTTAAACTGAGACAGGGGACATTCAGATTAGATATTAGAAACAATTTTTTCACTGTTAAGGTGGTCAGGCACTGGTCAGGTTGTCCAGGGAGATGTTGGAGTCACCATCCCTCGATGTGTTTTAGAAGTACCTGGATCTGGCACTGGGTAATGTGGTTTAGGGCTTGCACTGGTAAAAGGTGGGTTGACAGTTGGACTTGGTGATCTTAAAGGTCTCTTGCAACCTTGATGATTTTATGTTTTCTTTGAATTTTTCAGTCTGTCTCCTCCTGTGATGGAGTAAGTAAATGCAATGCACTGATAGGCTCAAATTCAAAGTTCAAAAACCTACTTAGGTACCACATTTTCACAGTACAATCATCCATTCTGGTAACATAAGTAGAGATTATGTTAGAATCTTATGCTCAAGATTTTTGTCTTTTAGAGACATAACAAATTACCACTGCTGAGTAACTCAACTCTCTCTCTAGGAACGCATCCTTGTAGCATGGCCAAGTTCCAGCTGGAGAGATGCTCCGGTTTCAAAGGCTATCTAGCATCACAAAAAAGCTTTATACTTCCTACCTAAACTAGCACAATAACTTCCTACCTAAACAGCTTGTAAGTAAGGAAAAATAGATATTAAGACAGGAAACAAAAAAAATTTCCAATAGAATACTTCTTTTTATCGTGCAAATGTACAATTATAATTTACCATCTTCAGAAAACTGCCCCAATAGTCTTGTAAGCATTTGAGTTTACAGATTCATGCAAATCACCAGTTTACTAACTATTTAGTGGTCCAGTATATGCTAAGGATAAACAAAGAAACCTAGTTGCACTGCAGAAGACAAATGTACATTACTGAGTTTAATAAATATTTACAAAACTCCCTTGTAAGAACTCCATCTAAGAATGGAATGCTGAATCTAAGTGTGGAGTACTGTACACAATGTCGCAATGAACAGCGCCACAGCCAAACAGCACAGCTGCAGCAGTGCTGCTGGTAACAATTCGCTCAAAGCTCTCACTTCACCGACCACAGCAGGAGGCAGCTGACAGCAGGATTCCTAGATGTTTTGCTCTAGTGTTCAGGAAATGGTTTGGACCAGACACCCCCACATTAGGGTTGAAGAGCTATGACAAAAATGTTCTATGTAAATGTTCTATCATTTTCAAGAAGGCTAATTTATTTCTTCTGGAGTTTTTCCTATAAATCTTTAGCTTATCCTGAAAGCAGAATACTACCACTAGGCAGGACCATGATCTTACTACCAACAAATACCACCAGTACAGAAAATCTAATTGCAACATACTTAATGATGACTAAGAATTGTAAATATTGTATAAATTAGATAATGTATATTGTGTAACTTTTAGTCTGTATTGATTTTCTTGGCCTGTTAGACATGGAATTTCCTCTAGATGCTTTGTATTTAAGAACAAAAATAAGAAGGGGGTTTTTTTGTGCTGTACTGCTCATTTCATAAAAGGTTACTCTTACTGCCTATATAGCAATTGGCTAAATAGTTACAGAAGCTACAGAAAGATCAATATCTTCATTTTAGCCACTTCTGACCTTTTTCAGAAAATTCTAAGTCAATCTTTGTTTACAAGTTAAGTAGTATCAAAAATTAATTAAATACATGAATTCATTTAGATCAGTGGAGGAGAAGCAAGATCTAACATAGAAAGCAAAAGCAATTATTTTTCCCATCTATTTCCTTATAATTCAAAAGGAGGAAAAATCAAAGGTCTTGTTGATTCAGTGAAGTGCTTCTTCTTCCTCTGTCTTAATTCATTCAGATTGAGTTCTATACCTCTAAATCTCTAAATTTATCTTCATTTAAAGTATGAAGATAAATACTTGAAATACCATTTTTTCCTTAAGCCATTATTCCATATGAATTAACCCTTTTGGTGACTTTTTATAAATATTATTTATAAGGATTCTCTTTTGTTTCTCTCATTTTGCATATTCTCTTTATTTTTCAGCTAAAAGTAAGTGTGAAACAAAATTACATCTGTTTTCTTCAACAGTCTTAACAACTGACAAAAACCCAGTTAAAAAAGTCTTCATACATCTCAGAGATGTACACACGCATTAAGAGTGCATGTAAAGAAATAAATATATGTGCATTCCCCTGACAAAACACAAATCAAATCAAGACTAAGAAATTAACACAAAACTTAATGCTATTATACCATGAATATTTCTAAAATTTGTTTTACTGATTTCTGGGTAGTTAGCCATAATGCAACATTCATGAAAATTCTGACTTTAAGGAGGTAAATACTACCTTCTTGATGTACAAAAGGTGCATGTAATGTACATATTTTTGGATATACTATAATATAGATTAACAGGTAGCACTGACAGATCAAGACACACAACAAAGAATCTATATCAGCATAATTAACAGCAGCCACATAGGTACTTTTCCCCTTGTTCTTAATTTGGCTGAGAAAAAACACTGGCATCTCCTTTTTTTTTGGCAACAACTCCATGCCTTTTGTTAACAAAACTTGATGCTGATTTGAGATTATTCCCACAATTTATACTAAGTCTAGTAACACTGTAAATGCTGTTTCAACACAAATGACCTGATACTTGCACCAAGACTACAAGCTCCTCAATGGAGTGCAGCGTAACTCCCCAAGTTTTCAATTTTAGCATGTCTGCACAATTAATGTAAGCAGCCTAAAACAGGCAATCATACAACAGGTATTTCTTTGTGGTTATTTTTGCCATGGAATTTAAATAGAAGTATAATGAGTACAGTATTTCATACTCAAATCATAAAGCAAGAGGGTATTGGTGTGATAATCTGTAGTAACTCCCATTAGTGTTTGGGGAAGTCCTGTTTTAATGACCATCTCAACCATGAGTGATTTTTTCAACCTCTTCATTTCCAAACTTCAATATTTTCTGCAAGAACTGTCAATTTCTCCATAGAAATTTGGACACTGACAGCCACTTCACTAATCTTCATTCTATGTACATAATTTTTTTGCATGACCATGTCCATTTCATCTATCACACTGACAGTCCAACAACAAAGTTTCATTTCATCACAGAACCAATAATTTAGTAACTCTTGTGAAAGCTGAAACCTTTTCCTAGCTCACCATAACCCTTAAACTGATGGCAGTCAGCAAGAAACAGAATACTACAGTAGTAGTGCTATCACTAGGAAAACAGCACAGAGTTCTACTTGTCCTGCCTGATAGCCCTTTTATATAAAGGATGATACTGCTTTTGTAGAAATAAAGATGATATTAGTCTTCTGACTTTGTTTCACAATAGAAACTCCTACGAGAATTCACTAAAAGCTACTTCTAGGAGTTGTCATCTTCTACCTGCATTATCTTCTTGCCTAACGGGAATAATTTGCCATATAACATTACTCAAGTGAGCATAATCTTCAGGGGGAACAGAAACAAAATAACGTGTCTCCTACCTTCAAAAGCTGCTTGCCAATGGTTGGACTCATTTTTTCATCAACCATAAGAATTACTATTCCTCTGTCATCCATACCTCGGCGTCCTGCACGACCTGACATTTGAATGTATTCACCTGAGGATATCTACAATAAAATGAGAAAAAGAAATTAACAAACATCAAGAAAATTGCAGGAACTCGTACTGTTCTGATTACAATTGTACAGTAAGTGAATGATGTACAAAAAGAAGAGTTATCTAAGTTATCAAAGAATTATCACAGATTGACTTGATTAGTCATACTTATCATGAAACAACAATATAAATCCGTGACTATGAACAATGTAAGTCAGCAGTAAAAGCTACCTAATGCTCTTACAGCTCTGTATCATGGGGCATCATTTTAATAAGCACAAGAACCATTTTACAAATGTCTTTTATAATGGAGGGTTGCTGAGCATGGTGGAGATACAACAGATCTACACCTTAGTGATAATGCATCTCAATCATCTTAAAATAATGCATCATTTAATTCAGATTATTCAAGAGTAACATTAGTACATGATACTTGCAAAAGGAGTATTTTTATGCTTCCTAACTGTGAAATTGAAGAGTTATAAACAACTGGGACATGGACAAGAGGCAGCTACAACTGGTTACCACCTATGTCTCAGCAAGTTAAAAAACAAGCATTTTGTCATCTGTGGAACTGCATTCTCAACAACTCCCGAGGTTTCACTCTAGATCAGATTTTATAAACTACTTAAGAAAACTGTGCTAAATAATTAGAGAAGTTCCACATTTCTTCTATCTCAAAGTGAACCCATTCTTATACATATCTTACAGACACACAATCAAAATGAATAGCGAAACTGAACAGCCTAAACTAAGATTGAAGATTTATGTTTACTTTGTAACTTGCATAGGTGAAGTCACTTGTCCCATTCACAACAATCTTCTCACCTTTGAAGGATGAGCCCTGGCTCTTATAAAGCTTTGCTGTGATGATTTGCAATGCCTCATTTTTATTTTAAGTAAACCACATACCAAGTTTTAATGTCTAAAATTTTATAATTAGGCAAAAAATCCTACTGTAAGAAAATAACACTCTTCCCAAGGTCAATGACCTTTTTTCTTGGGTCTGTCAAAATTAGTGATCACTATAGTAGGATATGAAGCCCATTTATTCTCCAGAGTTCTCCGATATTGAATAAAATACCTGGGTATTACAGTTTTGGAAAAGGTTTGCAGAAGTCCTAGTCTAGTCCAGTGTGTGCCGCTAACCTGTATTTGGTTCCCTTTTGATGTATCTATTAAACAATCTCATGGATAATCTGAGGAATGTTGTCTTCTGAAATCTGTGCATTAACAATGAATGGATAAGATAAGCAGATTTTTGAAAGAAAACATATTTTCTACTACATTGAGCTGAACACATTAAGAGTAAATTTAATCCTAATAAGGTTTAAATAATTCAGTTATTCTATAGAACCTCTCTATCACTTACCCATCGGAAATCTTTTCCATCAAATTTACTGGCACTTGTAAACAGCACAGTTCTGGCTGGCATATTAATTCCCATAGCAAAGGTCTCTGTTGCAAATAAGGCCTAAATAAACAGACTGAAGTTAACTAAGCAAAAAAAGAGGATCTCAAGCAAACATGAAAATAGCCAGAGATTGCTACACAAAACCTCTCTGGATTTTAATATATCTCTACAGTCAATACAGGGAACACAGGCAAATTCAATACTTAAAATCTGAACCAAAACAATTTTTCTGCCTTTCATTATTTCTCCTGAGAAAGCAAAAAAACTAAATAGATGGGTCCATGTGAAAAACTACAAAAGAAAACATAATAGAGTGCAAACTGTATTAATCAATAATAGTAATTAATATCAAGATTCAAGTTTGCAAGAAGAAAACAAGAGTTAGCTATCCAAAAAAGCCACCACAACTTTCACCTTAGGTTATATTTTTCTGAGTATTTGTCCTTAGTGCAACCAACAATCAGCTTGGTAAATGTCCACAGTCATTTATAGGAGAAAGATGTAACATAAAATAGTTGAATAAATTATTTATGTTAGACACTGAAAGTTCAAATACTTGTAAATAAAACACTTAAAACTACAGCTTTTGTGCAGATATCCATTGTAATACTAGCATGCACTCTGAGCTAAGGCGTACTTAGATTTTCAGGATTACCAGCCACATACTCAAAACAAACTACAGATTTTGAAGGTAAATACCTTTATTAGGCCCTCTGAGAAAAGAATTTCTATGGTTTCTTTTAAGATAGGAAGCAAACCACCATGATGAATACCAATTCCTCGCTTCAGAAGGGGAAGCACATGTTCAACCTGGAAAGAAACATACAGAAGACCAGCAAACAAATTTTAGCATTTGTTACTAAAAGTTGTATGGAAAGCCACAACACTGCCCTTAGTGTTCATGTAATTTAAAATTAGCGATTTTCCCCATTTAAAATAAAATAACTACCGCTTCAATCTTGTCATATTCTGCTTGGAAGCTTGTATTTTTCCTCTGTAAAGATGGGAAAACATCACTATGCTTAGGCATTATACAATAAATTAGATTGCAGACGCATCAATGCACTGCAACTTTGTGAAAGCCTCAGCAATCAATAACTGGTAAGTGCATACTGCACTCCCACTTGAACCATTTCCAGACTTTTTAAACCAGGTCTATACCTCTTTATAAACTCTCATGTTTACTTCAACATAATTTTATGTTGAAATTATATTATTTCAACACAATTAGAAAAAATAAAACAAGGGGTAGGAACTCCACTGTTAATTCTGACATACATCATCTGTTGGAATTGCAACTGAAAGGAATCCTTATCACCTCTTTCATAACGACAAAAAGCAATGCAGGAGATACTAAAACCTGGGGAGATTAATGAGACTGGCCAGTTTTATAATTTCTGTACCCCCTACACAACATCCACAACTTCACAAGTTGCAGAAAACAGGACAGCAGCAATTCAGCTCTATTCACAAGAACCCTTTTCAATCTCCACTCACCTGAGGAAGCTTTTTGTCTTCATCTGAGAGACAATCAATTGCATTATTGAAGACTTCTTCAACCATTTTTTTTTCTTCATCTAAGAAGGTAATTTTCAAGTTATTACAAAATGCAGAAGGCTAATACCAGATGTAAATAAAGTGGTATCACATTCTAATATTTACATAAGTGTACAATACAAACTGAGTGGAATACCGTGAAGTCTACACAAAACCACCCACACTTGGTCAGGCAATCAAGACTTCAATAAGCCCAGAGGAGCCAGATGGTAATCAGAAGCAGACAGGAAAAAGAAAACTAGAACAAATCTTTCAGAACACTCCAAACATCAGCCACTTCCAAGCTTAGGATTTATCAGTCTCATGTCCTCCCTTGTCTATTTCTTAAACCTCCCCTGTTCCTTTTCTACCTACTAGCCCATGTCTGCATGGATATAGGGGCTCCTTCCTGTTAACTCTTAAAGTTTACATCCTTACCACTAAGTAGTATAAATATAAAGAATACACATTCAAAGGTGTGCTTCTGAAGAAAACATGAAAATGCACCTCTGCATTTAAACATATCTTTAAATTTTCTGACAGAAACACCTGCATTATTCTGCCACACCAACCCAAAATGTGCAAAGACTGGAGCAAATAAGCAGGCAAGAACCTTGAACAGCTCACAAACATGAAACAGTACATTTATTTACAACAAATTCCTTATTTTTGTTAAAACTCTAGATTTCCAAGAAGCAATGAGCTTCTAATTTGCAAAGCTTGGTCTTAGCCAAGATGAAAACACTCTTCTTTGTTTACCTTTTGTTTTTTACTTTGAGAAGCAAGGGGAAGAAGGCAATAAAGAAAACTGGATTGCATGGCGAGAAAGAACAGTCTAGTGGTTTGTTATACAGCTGTTTGGACTTTGCGAGTATATTATTTTTCTAACGAATATAATATGAAAATTTTGGGAAATACTTTTTTATGATCAGTCTTCTCCCATTACAGACAGAATCTTCTAGGAATTCTTGTGTTATTACAATAAACAGCATACTGGAGCAAGAAATAGAGTTTAAAATCGAAGAACAGTTCAACACTGTGATGACCAAGTACTCTGTGCACCAATACCTTCCTACTGAATACAGCTCAAGGTACCAGCATAATAAACGAAAAAAGCAGTATGTATTTCCATTTTGGTTTTACACAAAATGTTCAACAGGAAAAGTAATATTTCACATCAAACTGAATCTGTGAATAGAATTCTACTGGATTTATCCATACCTGTATTGAAATCTAACTTTGTCATCTGAAGTGCATAGGCTTCACAGTCTTTCTTACTGAAGCTAAAAATAATCACAGGTTGGAAATTCCTTTCCATGATCATCTTCACAATCTTAAAAACATTTGAAGGACCTGCAGAAATATTACATTAATTTAAATTAAATTCTACAACAAAAAGTATCTTATGGAGTAATTGAGACACAAGCACAACTTGCACAGAACTTTGGAAAAAATCCATACCAAAAATTACCTCAGAATGGGCTCAAACTCACCTTTTGTTCCTCCTTTCCTGCCTTTCTGATCCCCTTTTGCTAAGTCTCCGGCATCTCTAAGCACTTGCATTGCTGTATTAAAATTATCTTCTCTGAAATCTCCCTAGATGTAAAACACAAACTTTGTAAATAGTTACTTACACAGCCCACTTAAAAATACCATTACCCCACATATACACAAGTAAAAGGACAGAAACTATGCATAAGCTATCAAAAGAGTTTACTAGGTCAGTTTCACAGCTCAGAATTGCACTGGTGTGCCTCTGAAGTTAATGCTCATTGTTCTATCCACCACTCTACCTGACATGCCAAACCCGCTGAATTACACAGTACTAAAACTGACTTTTAGGAATGTACACACAAAACTACACTGACCAATGAAGGCACATCTTCAAGTGCAGCATTACTGTTAATGGCATTAGTAACTGCTGAGTGATCTAATAATAAATTTTAAACAAGTTTTTAGTTCAAAAACACCTAAAGAAACAAAAATATTTTGTTCCTTGACTAAAGTCAAATTTACATGCCACTATGTTTTCTTTTGAGCAAGAAACAGTACAAGGAACTTCAACTACTTTGCAGATTTACAGAAAGCAGCATGCGTTTTAGAAAACAAACAAGGATGTGGGCACTTAAGACATCTCAGGGAAGCATTACTCAGCTGATTGCATGACATTAGATAATAAAACCAATTTCTTGTGTAAGACTCCAAAAATTTAAAAGCAATTCAGAGATCATCATTACTCACTTGTACTTAATTTTAACAAAAACATCCTTTATAGATCCTATCCAAATTTTGCAAGAGCTCAAGCTTTTCACGGTAAGGTCAAGAAAACAATATTTCAGACAAACTGAGCATTCCTTACATTTTCATCAACAACCAAATGCAGTCCATCTCCTCCTGCTGGAAATATATAATGCTGCAGTGGAGTAGGTCGATAGTCAGTGTAAATCACATGGCAAGGCTATAAAGAAAGAATTCACATAAATATTTCATAATCACATTGTAATATTGCTTGCATGATGGAAAACTCAATACATTACTATTAAAATACAACCTTCTAAAAACCAGAAAGTACAGCTTTCAGAAACGAAGATAACCTTTCTTGAATATGGATTTTGTACTAATGACAATGCTTAAGAAAATGAAAGTTTGCAAATGTTTCAGAACACTAGTTGGCTACAAAAATTTTTTCTCATGAACAAAAAAAGTAAAGACAGCCAGTATTTCTTTCAGCATTACTAGGCAGATTTGAAATATTAACATCTTCTAAATCAAAGGAAAACCTCTTAATTTGTATTTTGTAGAAAAAGCCTGAAGCATTACTGAAACACCTAAGAAAGACTCACAGTAGACCATCATGAGCATTCAAGGTTTTGATGCATTAAGAAAGTTTGTTTAGGAGAAAAAACCAAAACACTTCCTTTAAAACATTAAATATTACATAAATCTGCATTTAAAAACCCCACAATCTAACAGTCCCCAACACAAAGTCAAGGCTTTGTGCCAAACTTAAATAGACATTTTTTATACTATATCCCTTCATTACAAACATAAGAATCAATCTCTAGACTATTTTTTAAATTGGACCAATCTCCTGTTGATAACAAATTCCCCAGTTCTAATTCACAAAGTCCTTGCTATAAATGCATGTCTCAGAAAAAAACAGAATAGAATTTAAAAGCTAAAGGTTACAGGACAGGCTAAATTTCTTAAGTAACACTTCTCTCATTTGCTTGCAAGCATATATAGTATTTCCCATGGATTTACGATTTGCATTTGATTTTTACATGGCCTTTTACAGAGCTCCTTAGCTGAGGGAGGAGGGTCACCTAATGACCTCTTGTCTATCAGCCCTCAGAAAATCACTGCATGTTCACTGTATTTCATAATGCATAATGTTTGCTGACATCAGGCAGGTGCCTAAATAATTGCGGAAAATAAACATTAAGAAATAGTTCTAATGTTGCCGTTCAGAAGCAACAGCCAGTATACCTGCAAAAGTAGAAATACAGCTACAGAAGCCAAGAATGATCTATACTATCATCTATAAGCAATAAAATGACTAAAAAAGATACTCAGAGGCCCAGTTATCAACCAAACAGACAGTATTAAGCCACAAGAGAAAAGGCACAGAGGTACAGCATACTGGAAATATTACCTGTTTGTGAAGATGGCAGATCCATTCAGCAAACTGACGGGCATTTGGAATAGTTGCAGAAAGGAACACATAATGTACATTATCAGGAAGCAAAATAATAGTCTCTTCCCAAACCACACCACGTTCTGAAAATAAAACAGCATATGGGAAATGTATGTGATCAAAGCAATTTCTCATTCCTGAAGCCAAAGAACAGCATGCTTAAAAACAAAATAAGATGAAAAACAAAACAAATCTTCTCTACACAAGTGGGGTACATCAAATGTATCAAAGCAGTTTCTGGTTTGGTGAAGAAAATACAAACTGCAACATATAATTATGTAAATTCAGTAGAAAACAAGTTATGAATTATTTATACAAAAAGAGGACAGATTTTACCAGGAGAAATTAGACTTAATTCTTCAAAAGAAGAAGAAATTGTTCTTGGGGAAAATATACAAAGATGTGAAAAGAAAAATAGTATATATAGGATACCTGTATCTCTCATGTAGTGAATTTCATCAAAAATAACCCATGCGACTTCACGCATAACCTCAGAACCTCTGTAAAGCATACTTCTCAAGATCTAGAAAAAGAAGTAAATGTTGAGTCCCTCCACATGAAATACCAATCATGTTACAACAGTCATGTTACATGGACATTAGTAAGAAACTGCAAGAATTTTTTCTTCGCTTTTACGTGGATATACGAAATCATATTTTGAAAAAAAAATAAAAGCATTTAAAGATAGGGTTTGAGATGCTTTCCAAGTTCATTCTAATCTAACAATCTCAAGATTGAGAAAAACAGGTTTCTCTGAAAGGAATATGAAAGAATGAGACAAAGTATTTCTCCAAGCTTCCACTGTCAGGTAATTGTTACAGCTCTACAGATGTACTTCTGCCAAGATCTCTTTTTACTTCATCCTAATAGATAACCTTGCTGTGATTAAGAGGAAATCTTTTGTCAGAAATCAAATCATTCAACCTCTTTAATATTTCCCTACCAATGTTATGCCTGTTCCTTTGAGGTAAAGGCAAAAAGAGGAAAATTTCAACCCATGGCTGCATTTCTACAACAGAAATAAGACAAAGCTCTAAAAAAATTACTTTGTTAACAAAGGTGAAAAGCTACCTATTCCTTGAGTTCTAGCACCTACTGTGAACAACTCAGCTACCCTTCAATGATTTTGCCCTTATTTTGCCTTTCTAGAACAAAATACTGACTATGGGATTTAGGAAATCTGACTTTCAGCATTTTACATCTACAGAATAGTTGTTGTCTTGAACACTCAAAAAACTGAATTCTGACTTTCTCTACATTAGAATCAGAAGTTCCTGACTTACAGTTCAAATGTAAATTGAACTGTAGTTCAATTTACTACAGTTGAATAAGTAAACTCAACTGTAAAGGTGTAAATTCACAGAGATTTACCAAACTTTTTAAATAACCAAAGTTAAAACATTCAAATGAGTAATAATGAACTTTAGAACATTTTCAACCCTAATTAGGCCACTTTAATCTTTTAAAATTAGATCTCCCCGATCCTTTTAAAATTAGATCTCCCCATGGGTAGAAGAAAACACCAATCAAGAATTAATGTCTGTCTTACCTCAGTTGTCATTACCAAACAAGAAGCCGTAGGATTAATGGTAACATCCCCAGTCATCAAACCAACATCCTGGAATTCTTCATACATCTCACGGTACTTCTGATTACTCAAAGCTTTAATTGGACTTGTAAATATCACACGCTGCTTTTCCCTCAAAGCTAGGGCAATTGCGTACCTGTATTTGAACAATATCCATATTAACTGCTGCAATATCCAAACTAACAGCTGTCAAGAAGACAGAGCGTATTACTTTGCTTAAGAACAAAATTAATTGTGCAATTCAGAACACCAAGAGAATCACAGACAGCATATGAATCCATGCTCTAATACATCTAGAATTTCCTATCCAGATTATTAAGTTCAGTGCAACTACATATACATCTCTGCAGAGTGAAAAATCTTTAAACACCAAGGTAGCTGATTTTTACGGAAACAAGAATACATGTAGTTTAATTAAAAAACTGTAACTGCGTCACAACAAAACTATTATTATTTGAACCCATGCTCCAATTTCACTTCTATACATTTCACGTACATGCCATGTACATTTCACTTCTGAAAAGTGAACCAAAGGTTCAGGTCTGAACCAAACCCTGACAGAGAAGTTGCTGACTAAATCAAACTACTGCTTCTAACAACAAAAAAGCTCCACAGAAGTCCTTACTTCTTCTAGCCAGGAGCTAGAAAACAAAGGTGGTTTTTTTTAGCAGATTTACAAAAATCTGTATTGAAGAAACTTCCATTTCAATCTATACAGGAACAGCTTGACAGTTTAAAAATAAAAGCTTAAACACAAATTAAGCCTTTCACTACTCACTAAATGACGGAAGATATAATTTTTAAATTCAAGAATAGCCAATTCAATTCTAACACTGGTGGACTGAATCAAGAAATTGCAACACAACAGCTACTGATGGTTCAAGAAAATGACAGAAGGAACATCACACTGTTCTTTCATTAGAGCCTGTTAGAAAAGTACTTACTCAGCACAAACAGTTTTACCAGCTGATGTGTGAGCTGACACCAGCACAGACTGGTTATTATCTACACAAAGAATAGCTTCTCTCTGGAAGGCATCAAGAATAAATGGATATTCCTAGAAGAAAAAAACCAAAAACATTACAGAAATTTAAGAGATACTTATATTTAACTACTTTTCTGACTGACATAGTGTGCAAATTAGAGGCAGAAATTAGATCCTGCAGACACTTGCAGTTTCTGCTGATTTTAACCCACTATTGTGCAATGACTTTGTATTTAAGTATTTTTATCTCATATCATACCTAAGATCTTTGCTTATGTCTTAATGTCACAGCAAATGAAAATCTTGCCCTGATGACTGAATTTTTGCTCATTTACCAGTTTAGGAAGAGAACAAGAATGCTGCCCCTGCCTGGTGTTACAGAAAGAATATCATAACAGCCTATCCACCTCATTCAACCACAATCTTTTATACCAAATTTTAAATACAGAAACATCAATTGTATTTATGACAGATCTGCTTTTACAGATCTTACTGACAAAGTAGATAATTCTTCCCTCTGCTCTCACTTACTATGTAAAGCACATACAAAAAGAAAAATAAATGGGATCTGGCACGTACTTTTGCAGCTTTTCCAGTTCTTGGCTTCAGACCTGTGAATTCCTCATTTGCTGGAAGCGCAACCTATTGAAGATATTTAAAACAAAACCAGTTGCAGATTTACGTCCACAGCAGTGACATTTCTGGCAATGTAAACTATGAAAACAAATTTGAATTTCTGTTACTTTGTTTCCACAAGCCCATGTTCATTCCTTCCTCTCAAGAGTTTTTCAATCAATCTTTACATTTTCCTACCTAAGCAGCACTGCTTCTCTCACTTCCCTGATATCCCTACTGTTTTGTGTGAGACATTACTGCTTCACCTGCCTTGAAACAGTAGCTTTTTAGCCAAGACACAATCGTGTTCTGGCCAGTGGATATAGGAAGCAATTACTGAACTAATACTGATAATATTCCCTTTCCAAATACACTGTATTTACCAATACTCCATTTACAATTACACTGATAACATTCCCATTGCTGGCCAATATCTAGCATTTATTCACTTGAAATACATAAGCTCTTTTCAGTTACTAAGTGATGGCAAACCTTTAACAGACATCACAAAATAACAAGAACTGGACACACACAAACTTTAGAACCCTGATCAGCAACTATATATACAGTTCCCTCATTATGGAAGTCTGATGATATAGAGCCCTTGAATGTGACCCTAATTAACTTGAGCTAGTTCTGGAAAACAGCACAGAAGATAAAAAGACCGTAACAGTACAAGGAAGTTAAAATTTACATATTTGATTTTCATGTAAACTCCTTCTGACAGTCATATATGGATTCAGGATGATTCAAAAAACCATTAATTTAAGAAAGCAATAATTCGTATTTGTTTATCAACACAATTTAAAAACTCATAGTTTTTATTAATCTGTACATTTAAAAATGTAATTTTTCATTTTTACCAAAATGTATTTTTCAACAGTAATCAGCTTTAGAAGAAAGTCTTTCATTCTTGACCCAGAATAGCAGAATACTTCAATGCACTGATCACACTACAAAGAGAAACCTGTTTTACCAATGTCATGGTTAGACTTTGGCATAAAATCAGGGCTTCTATGAAAGATATATTTTTAAAATGGTTACTGTGAGATGTGATCTGGAAACAGAATAAAGCAGGTTTTTAATTGGGGATGGAGGGAAAAACACAACATTTTAATAATCTATAACACAGAAATATAAGGAAAAAAAAAAAACCCCACACAACAATCTACAATGGAACACTCTCAAAACACTCCTCCCCCCCCAGTCCTCTAACATTCAAATCTCAGTCCAATACCCTCCTTCACAGAACCTCCCCCCAGTTCATCAGGAGAGAGGAGTCTCCATCTTGCACCATGGGCCTCCCCAGGAAACACAGTTGGAACCTCCCGTGCCTCCATGTCACACGTGGCAGCCGCCCGGAGAGAATCTGCCGTGGTGACCATCTTCCTTCCATGTCCAGTGCTCTCACCACTGTCCATGGATCCAAACTGCTTCTCAGGTCCTTTTAAGAATGCTTTATTGCACAGTTCCAAGAAGTGGCCTTCTCTCACCATCTGGGATGCTTGTCCCCCACATATTTTTACTACCCTGGGGCCTGGGTCTCAGGAACAGAGATCTTTTGCTGAAGACAGAGGGCTCCACCACACCCTCCCCATCAGTCTCTTTTCCCTCTAAACTCTCCTCGTGGCCTTATCATTCTTGGCTTCTGGCCAACTGCCTCCCCCAAGGTGCAGTCTCTGCATTATTGGAAGAAATTGGTTTTGCCCGTGGCTATGTAAAAGAAAAGTCCAGCCAAAGCCACTCCAACTACCCCCTCCATCTAGGGCACTCTCATTTGCTGGCATTTTCTTCAACTACTCAAACCTTCTCTTCTTTCCCATCCTCCATCCCCTCTCAGTCTTTAGCTGGGGAGGATCAGAGTGTTTTTACAGCCTCTATTGTTTCAATACTGTAAGAGTTAAAAGGACACAGCTGGGCAGGGGGAGGAGGTCAGACTCCAAAGAGGGAGTTTCTCTCCGAATGCTCTGCTTTTAACCCCTGTGTGTTCTCAGAGGCGTATCCAAATCCCCAGAGGCCACACCAGGTGCCAATTTCAAATCTGGCCACTGATTGGTTTGACCACGACTTTTCTAAAAACTCACTTCCAGGCCAAACCACAACAACCAACCGGTAGGTTTTTCTCCTCAAATGTTCTTGGTGCCTTACAAATATAGAAACCTATCAACATTACCATGAATTCTTTCACTATCACTCATTTTATTTTAAGTATGATTGAAACTCCTAGCAAGATACCCTACTAATTTTTCAAGTGCACTTTGTGCATGTTCAGTGTCAGATAGAAACTTCAAACTCTTCACAGTCTTAAATAGAGCATGAAATACTGTATCTGCTGGAGTGCAGGAAAGCCTTGCAGAGGGATCAGGACAGACAGGATCAATGAGCAAAGACCAATGGTGTTAAATTCAGCAAGGTCAAGTCCCAGGTCCTGCCCTTGGGCCACAACTCTAAGTAGCACTGCAGGCATCCCCAGGTGGAGGACAGATTTTTCTCTGAGATAACAAGCAAAATGAGAACATGAAATGACTTTAAACTGTGAATTGGGAGACTGGACATTAGAAAACACCAGGCTGCCCAGGAAAGTGGTTATCATCACAAAAGCCACTTCAGAGATGTGTAAATGTGGCACTTGGGGACAAGGTTTAGGGGAGGACTTGGCAGTGCTGGGTTAATGGTTGGACTGAATGCTCTCAAAGGCCTTTTCCAACTGAAAAAACTCTGTGACATAATAATGGCAAGGATAAATAATACTGTTATACTGGCAATGATACACACAATTAGGTGTAACAAGTCTATATTTTTCATATGCTTTTTCACTGCACTCACCTCATGTGTACAGCCTTCAACAGTTTCCACAGACTGCACCTTTACTTGAGGCATCAGATCTGTCAGACTGAAAAGACACGAGTTAGGATTGGCAAAAAGTATTAAAAAATCCTGGTTTTTTATGAAGGTGAACATGTCAAATTTCACCTCTGCTTCACTCCCCGTACCAAAAAAAGGATGTGCAGTCTTGGCATGTGCAGATGGCTGCAGGTGTTACTACCAGGACTACTGCCTCAAAGCAGCTAATATTTTGCTCCCACATAAATCTACTTTAGCTTTTGACTCAAAAATTGCACCACAAAACAGCACCCGGGCCACATTTACTCACAAAATTTTATGATTAAATGAGGACTTTTTTCAAAATATAATGAAACAAAATTCAAGACCTGTACTTGTGCTACTAGTCAACACAGAGAAAGAGCAGCTTGCAGCATCCCAAGCACCTGCCTGAGGACAAGGCTCCTCTTTTCTTTACCAGTTCCTTCTCTCATGGTCACGAGAAGGGACTGGAGTCCTTTTCCTGTTTATTCTGAAACTGTTTATTCCTGATGTATACATTCTACTGATACCACTAACACAGAAAATTACCTAAAACGTTGGCTCTGGTTCTGTTTTGCTTCTATGCACTTACTCTTTACAGTGTTTTGAGAAGTCTTCTCATGAACTTCTCACAGAAATCTGACACTGAACTTCACAAAAGTTATACGACAGACTGAATGATAATCCAGTTACCACCTTACATGCCTCAAAAGCCTCGTGTGTCTTATTGCCAATTTATTATTCCTGTATCCCAACTATGTCTTTCAGTGTCATGGTACACACCAAGCCTGCTTCCCCCCCCATGCTTCCAGCTCATCTCCTGCTCTGTGTGAAACCAACACAGTGGCTTTGACCACGAGTCACCAACTCAAATGAGTAACTACAAATTCATTAACATTTCCTACTGCAAAGACCTGCAGGTGTGCAGTATTATTTTAAATACACCCAGCTTTCATCACTGCTGAGGCTGCACAGGGAGCCCTTTCTCACTTAAACAATTAATTAATTAAATAAACAGACAATTTTAACAGGAAAATCAAACTTGTGCAAATTCATCTTTACAGGAAAACACTGCAAAACTCCTTCCTATCAGCTGTTCCCAGCTGGCACATGGCTAATCAAGGCAGCTTGCCAGGACTACCTTACACATTAAGCTGAGCACTTACTTAACATCTTCTGATAAAGCATCTTCCAATTTTGGTTTTTTTCCCAAAATGACATTTTCAGTACTATCAATCTCAGCTTCCCTTTTTGGCTTGACTATTGCTGCTGGTACTGAAGGTTTTTCTTCCAATCGTTTTCTGCAACACAAACACACAAGAAAATTAAAATCTGCCTCATTCATTGATGTATTTTCAAGAAAAAAATCCTCTTCAGGGCAGCTGTGATCCCACTGCACTTTGGGAACAACCCAGGTAACTTGACCCACAAAAACAGGAGCGGGATTTCAAAGCAGGTCCCAGATAAGCTGGCCACCAGGTCCCCACACTCCCCAGCTGGCCACAGCTTCAGAGCCAAGGATCCAGGAAAAGCGGGTCACAGAATTACAGAATGGGTCAGGTTGGAAGCCACCACAGCAGCTCATCTGGCCCAACCTCCCTGATCAAGCAGGACTCCACTAGAGCACATTGCACAGGAGCGCATCCAAACGGGACTTAAGCATGTCCACGAAGGGAGATTCCACAAACTCTGAGCAATCTGTTCCAGTGCACGGTCACCTACGCACTTAAGAAGTTCTTCCCCACGTGGAACCTCTTCAGGTGAAACTTTCCGTGCATCAAGTTCGGCCTGATACCTCTTGCAATTGCTCGGCACAACCAAGAAGAGCATAGCTGTATCCTCTTAGGACCCTCCCTTCAGACACTGACACAGTCCCGAAGTCCCGAGGGGCTCAGTAGCTCAAACACGCCGGAAAAAGCCGGGCCCAGCCAGACAGCCCTCACCGCGCCGCCAGAGCACCGCAGGTACTGCTGCCCCAGCCCGGCTCTTACCCCGGCCTCCTGGCACCCTCGGCGGCGCCCGTTTTACTCTTCTTGGCGCCAGAAGCAGCGGCGGCCGCGTCCTCCTCGAACACGCTGAAGAGCTCATCCCCAAACGCCTCCGCCATCTTAGCCGCCGCGCTCCCACAATGCCCCGCGCAGGGCCGCGCACTTAGCGCGAGAGGAGCGCTTCCGATCCCGCCCCCCGAGGGGCGACGGGGTCTCCCGCCGCCCTTGACACCGGTAGCGGCCCGTTCTCGATGCCGATCTCGATTTCTCTCTGAGTCCGGCTCTCGGTCCCGATGCCGCTCCCCTCCGCAGCCTCCCCCGTGGCGCAGGCGCGGCGCTTCCCCGCTCGAAGGCGGTCTGCGAAAAGCCGACGCAGGCCGCGCGGCCCGCGCGCGTGCGCGGGGGGCGCTGGCCAATGGGAGGCGGGCGGCCGCAGCGCCCCGCCGCGACCCGCGCCCGCCGCCAGGGAGCCGCGCCCCAGACAAGGTACCGCGGCCCGCCCAGCCCCGCAGCGGCCGTGCCCTGCGGTGCCGTGCGTGGCTGAGGGCACCATGGCTAAGGGTACCCGGGCTGGGGGGGCAGTGCCCTCAGGGAGCCCCTGAGGGAGCGGCTGCCGCGAACGGCGGCCTTACGAAGGGAGGCCGGCCACTGGGGTTGGTTTTCCCAGCGTCGGGAGAGGCAGCTGGAATTGCTGCTCTCCTGATGTGGTTAGGCCTGGCTGCAGCCCGCCGTGTCGGTCTAAGTGGTCAGAGGAGGGGACTGCTCCCGCCTGCTCGGCCCTGATGAGGCCGCCTCTGGTTTCCGTGTCCAGCTGTGGGCTCCTCCGTAGAAGAAAAACGATGAGGGTCCAGTGCAGGGTCACAAAGATGATGCGGCTCCTCATGAGGAGAGATTGAGGGAACTGGGCCAGTGCAGAGAAGACTGAGAGGGGCCCACATAAATCTGTACAAATATTTCAAAGATACGTGCTAAAAGGATGGTGAGAGACTCTTCAGTGGTGCCCGAAATGAGCAGCAGTAGGCACAGACTGTAACACGACGAGTTTCACCTCCAGAGGAGGAAGAACTCCTGTACACCGAGCGTGGCAGGGCGCTGGAACAGGCTGCCAGGGAGGTCACAGAGTCTCCCTCTCTGGGGACTGGCAGAACTCACCTGGATTCATTCCTGTGTCCTGTGCTCTAGATGATCCTGCCGTCCCGGGTTGGATGATCCCTGGCGGTCCATTTCAACTGCAGCTATTCTGTGATTCTGCTGTCAGGGATGTCCCTGAGCAGAGAAGTCCTGGTGGTGTTGATGTGTTGAGTTTAATTACAGAAAGTCTTACTATTAGATTATCAGCAGTTCCTGTGAAGCAAGTGTTTGGAAGGCACTTTCCCAGAACTTCTGATGTATTTGTTTTGTCTGTTATCAAAATCAATATAATGTGGTTTTGGGATTATTTTTTCTGTCTTGAAAGATCTGTTATGGGCTAGAGGCACTTCTGTGGTGTTAGATAAGATGATGGATGGCTGTTCTGAGTGCAGTCTGAAAAACTGCTATTCTGAAGCACTGTGAGATCCCTATTTTCAAAAAGCCAGCTTTGCCAGAAGTAACTGAGATACCATATAACATTAGAACAGCTTGTGTTGCAGATATGAGCAGATCATGCAATAGCCAGGGCATCTGAGATTCCCACTATTTAAGAAGAAGTCTTGTAATCTGGTGATATAAGCCTCCTGAACCTATTAATGCATTCAGCGTCTACAAGTGTGGGCTCTACTAAGTCTATTTCTTGTGTCCTCCATTCCTGCAATAACCATGGTCCTCAGTCCTCTTCAGAAAATATCCTGCTTCTCTCTCAGGTTGTGTATTGTGGTGAAAAATCAGTCAGTGTAAGTGAAAGCTAATTTGGTATATTTTAAGGAGCCCGCTGGTGAGTGCCAGTGAGTAGATCCCGAGTGCTGACAGCTGTTTGTACCTCCTGATCAGAGGGCACTGTACTTTTTCTGAAGTGCAGTTACCAAAACCTGGTCTGATGTCAAAGCAGGCTCTCCCAGAGCTGTTGTGCAGGCAGGCCAGCTGGGATGAGCTGCCCAGCCCACCTGCTGGGAGGTAGCTGTGCCTCTGGAGCAGCACGGAGTGGTGGAAGCTGTGGCCTTGCTCAGTTTCTTTCTGCCTGTGCAGTACCAGACACAGTATGCCTGCTCTGAAAGTGATGGACGGGATGAGCTGCCCAGCCCACCTGCTGGGAGGTAGCTGTGCCTCTGGAGCAGCACGGAGTGGTGGAAGCTGTGGCCTTGCTCAGTTTCTTTCTGCCTGTGCAGTACCAGACAGTATGCCTGCTCTGAAAGTCCTGGAATTCTACAGCAAGCTGTGTGTTGTCATTCTAATGACAATAAATAGTTCTGTGAATTAGGGTTTGCTGTTTTTAATGCCTATTCGATGAAAAATATTTAAGAACGACCAGAGCAGACCAAAGGCTTCTGTAAGCCAGTGCTCCCTCCTAGGTAGGGAACAAGAGCAGATACCTAGGTAAGAAAAGATCAGACAGGTAGTGATACTGCTTTAGGGTATTCTTACAGACTCCACCAGCTGTGGCTTGGGGTCTCCCTGAAGCATATATAATGCTCCTTTCAAAGCTCTCCTATATAAATTGTTTTCTTCACTGCAAAGCTGTTCTCTCTGGCCTCGGACCTCAGTAAATATCTACTGTCCATGGCTGTAGTGGCCAAGAGTTCTGTTACATAGCTATGCACTTTGTAATAAAAAAATCCTCAACAGCCTTGCTTATTTTGAAACTGCCATTCATTTTGTTTTGGAATTACCATTTACTTCCCTATTTGGCAATCCTTTTTCAGTGTTCAGAGAGTGAGCAGTCAATCCCCTTTCCTCTTATTATACCCTTTGAATTTTATATTTTGCCATAGCCCTCTTCACTATTCCTTGTTCGAGGTCTTTCTTGATTATTGCAAGTTAATGTAATAGTTTGCGGTTCGAGGTCTTTCTTGATTATTGCAAGTTTCTGGCAAGTTAATGTAATAGTTTGCACTAACTGATGTTATGTTAGGTCTGCTTTAGCTATGTTAAACAATGTTCTCTGTGGGTTTTGTGTAATTGATGGTTATTTGCAATTTGCAGGTCCAAAAACTTACAGTTTTGGTTCAACAACAGATTCCAATGCTGCTACAAATCTAGATAAATCTGTTCTTAAGGCAAGTATCTTTACATAAAACAACTTTGATTTTCATAGTACTGCTTTAGCTGAGTAAATATTTCTTCAGGTCTTTTTCAGTATTAGGTTGTGCATGTAAACTGCATTTATATATGAAACAATTGACCATTTAGAGTTTGGTTTTTGTTCATGGTTTTGAGTGTCCTTTAAGTAGTAGAGGTAAATTACCATGGTAGAATAATGTCTTTGGTTTTTTTTTTGCAAATAATACTTTGCACGCAAAACTATTTTAGGAGTAAGGTCTGGGCTTCTGTTTTGCATATGGATCTTGGTCCCTGTCAGAGAAAGGATATAGATTTTCTATAGCAAACTTAGCAGCAACTGCAGATAGGTTCATGTTTTGGAAGAGTTTCAAATAGTTGAAGTATTGTACTAAATTTGTTTTTAAAGGTGTTTTGGAAGGAGGATATCACAGATTGCATCTTGGTGTTCAAATTATTTTATATGAGCAGAGGAGAAAGGCCTTGGGTTTTTTTTGTAAAATTTTAATTTACTTAAAGTATTTCCTTTAACATACTGAATTTCCTTTTAAATGTAAATGGGCTTTCTTGGTAATAAGGAATGAACTCTTTTATTTCAAATGAAAGTATATAACTTGCAGAAGAAAGTGTCCTTTTGGTAAGAGATGTTTAGGCCACTTACAGAAAGCTTGAAATATTGGAATTTGAATGGCAGAGAGATTTCTGCATTGTTATGTCCTGAGTCATGAAATGCATGTCATAAAAACTTTCAAAGTTTACCTTGTATCCACTCATTTTTTCTTTGCAGGTAACAATAAATGGTAATTTGGAGAAAAGGATTATTGATGTGATTAATAATCATAAAAACCAAAATGAGGACAAAGGAATGATTTCCAAAAGACTGAGTGCAAAGAAACTACAGGTACAGTTCAAAATCATATTTTTGTTATTTTTCATTATTTATTTAGAGTAGTTTATATTTGGTAATTTTTATCGAGTGTCATATTACACTTGTGTGTATTACACAATTGAATTGTGTGCGGTACAAGCCAATACAGAGTGCTTTTCAGAGTTACATTAGTGATTAGTCACTGAAATCAAGAAGCATGCTTATTAGGAAAGGCACATTTTTATGGATTCAGGAACTAAAATCAAGAGCTTTCATACAAGATAGAGGAGTAATACTTGATCTGAATGTTTTAGGTTTCCTACAGTTTTTATTCTATTACCTGGAAAATTGGAGGTATGTCTTTACTTAGCTAGAAAACACATTGTGTAGAGAGAGGCAGGAATATAGATTTATTGATACCTATGCGTGTATATTTAAAAAGAAAATATAAATTTTGCAAAACAGAATTTTCTGCTTAATTTTTGGATACATTAATGCACAGTGTTTATTACCCTTTAATACTGGCTTTCTGATATGTGGGAAATAGAACTTTAAAAGCCTATATTAGATTGCTAAATTAAATCCTAATCTTTTTGGCTCTTTTTTTTGTAGGATGTATACATGGCTTTACAAAGATTCTCTTTCAAGACTGAGCACATTGAAGAAGCAATGAAAAATACGCTTTTATATGGGGGTGATCTCCACTCTGCACTTGACTGGCTTTGTTTAAACCTTCCCAATGGTGAGTGTGGTTACAGAAGATAGTTTTTGACAGAAGAGAAACAGGACCTGCTAAGCAGCAGCATTACTGCCTCACGATAGTATTAAATACAGTAGTCCTCTAAGACTAGTAGTTGGAACGATGTTGCTCTCCTAGATGCGCAGCTGATTTGTTCTGTTGTATGCTAGTGCATGAAGTCTTGTGGTCTTCATGTTCCTTGGAGTTCTGTGGATGTCCGGCGAGCAAATATATTATTTTGTATAAATGCTAAAGCCTAATTTTTATTTCAGTTTGTGGTGTTTATTACCCTTTAATACTGGCTTTCTGATATGTGGGAAATAGAACTTTAAAAGCCTATATTAGATTGCTAAATTAAATCCTAATCTTTTTGGCTCTTTTTTTTGTAGGATGTATACATGGCTTTACAAAGATTCTCTTTCAAGACTGAGCACATTGAAGAAGCAATGAAAAATACGCTTTTATATGGGGGTGATCTCCACTCTGCACTTGACTGGCTTTGTTTAAACCTTCCCAATGGTGAGTGTGGTTACAGAAGATAGTTTTTGACAGAAGAGAAACAGGACCTGCTAAGCA